CAATCCATTCGTCTTCAGTAATCATCATAGACTTTAGCCGGTTTGCATCTTTACGAACATTAGAATCAGAATCAGCACTCATGGTCAATTCCATTAACTTAATAGCACACTTAATTTGAAGAAGCCGTTTCTATGCAATATAGGAGAAGTTTCAGCAGGTTGTGACATCAGAAATTGCACGACGATATGATTTTTCATCACCACTAATTTTTTCCTTTGAAAATTTTAACATTTCTTGTGCTTTTTGTAGTTGTTCATTTTGTTTTGGTGTAGTTAAAAAATTAATTAATCGTTTTGCACGTTGGATCAAAATTACTGCAGGTTTTAATCCTTTTCCAATAGCGATTTGTATCATGTGAGCTGCACAAGGGATTCGATCCACCTGATCCATCAAATTTATAGCTTTGATCATATTGGCGGCGTTGTCAGTCATAATTGAAACTACTTTTCCTGAAAGTTTCCAATACTTGATTACATTCTCTAATTCAGCTTTAATATTTATAGCATCATGGGGATATGGAACATACTTGGCTGAAAGTATAATTTCTTTTAACTCATAATTTGAATTAATAAAATGACACGTAATTCCAATGTACCCACTTTTAGAACGGGCAGTTCACAAATCATATGTCAAACTGCATGTTTTGAGTTCAGTTGCAAAAAGAGTTTTAAGATGTTCAGTTGAATAGTTGTAGCTTTGGTGAATTCGTGCTTTAACTTGTTTATTAGAAGGCAATTCATAATATGGATTTAATATATGAATTAGTTTAATAAAGCTTTCGCTTTGCAGAATATGAAGAGGCTGTAAATTTGTGACTATCCATTCGACCAAGGCACGCTCAATAGATTCTTTTTGGCGAGAATTCTGTTTTACAGTACATTGAAATATCTCATTAATTGTTAGTTGAGGAGTTGTACTATTTTTCTGAATCGGCTTAGTAATTCTATGAGTATTTAAATGGGATTGAAAGTTGCCTGTTGAGCTCTGAGTCTTGACTAGTTGCCCGCATTCACGCTGACCATTTGAAGATTTTTTATCTTGTATAATTACAGTGCAATTTGCACGCTTTTTCCATTTTTTTGAGGATGGTCTTTTGCGAAAATGTTTCCAAACCCAACTTTCATTTTTGCATGATTTTGTTTTGGTCCTTAATTTTTTACTAGTGTGTTCTGTATCACTATTGCTATTGGAACTTGTACTAATGTTATCATCACTTAATGTTTCATCACTAGTATCATTATTTGAAGTATTAATAGTATCTTCAGGACAAGTGTTAGGGTTGGAATTTGATATAAAATTGGGATCAATTGAGTCTTTACTTTTTCGTTTCTTAATACTTGACATTTTGGTTGCATATAATTTAGTAAATAAAGATTCAAATGTTGTATTTCGATTTTTTTTTTTAATTGTTGGATATGAAAAGTTATCGCTTGATTTTTTATAGAGAATTTGTAACAAAAAATCGCCATTTTTTTCAGATATAATATGCTATTGAATATAGCTTTATGTAATTGTTATTTTCATTAGTAAGTTCTATTTTACTTCCTTATTTATATTTAGTATTTTAATTCTAATTTATCTTTAACATTACTTTTTCATCAGACTTTAGATATTTTCGCAATTTCACACATGAACCAAGCATTAATGATTTTAAAAATTCCTAGATCAGTATTGGCATTATACCTTTTGTATATTTAATTAATATGCCTTTTCTGTTATTATTTTTCATATGGCGATTAATTTTTAGTCTGGACTATGAAAGATCTCATGTCATTTGATATTGTTTCAATTAGGAATAACTTTATGTATTGTTATCCTTATAACAAATATGGGCGACGCCAAGAAAAACCTAAAATAATGATCTTATTTCACTTTTTATAACTTAGATACTGAGTTTAATATAAAAAAATTATTCTAATTTTCATTTGGAATTATATTTATTTATTATTTACTACTGTTTAGAGAGAGAATCATTGAAATATATACTATTTGGGGTGTCATCAATTAAGTCATTCTGAAATTGATTATATTTAGATCTATTGATAATATTATATCTAACATTAAAAAAATATGTATGCGTATATTTAATAGGTAAATTATATTCTTACAACGACCTGTGTTAATTGATAATAT